CCCCAAAACCCCAAAACCCCAAAACCCCAAAACCCCTGAAGGTGGCAGGAAGATTGAACTTGATCAATTTTATCCTCTATAAACAAGTTAGAAGAATAATAGATATGCTTCTACATGATGAAGCGATAACTTCGAAGGTTAGTTTGAACCTTCAGAGTTTTGGTAATAATCATTAGCAAATCTAATCTCGTACTCCTTCAACTCAACAGGAGGTACTGATTTATCTCCTTTTGATATAGAAGAAGTATCTCTATTAAGACATACTCTTGAGTTCATATTTGGCGAGAGGGAGCTAGATGGCCGAGTTTTGTGAGACGATATCAATCTTTGCACTTCATTATTGTCCTTTCAGTTATTATAAATCTGCCACTCTTTTCGTAGAAGTCTTATTACAAGCCATTCTATGAGAATAAGGACTATTATTAATCCAAACTTTAAAAGCAAAGGGATGATACTCCTTTCATCATCGAATGGCTGTTCTGAGAAGCTCAGAATAATCCCATCAAACTCTGAGCAAGATGAAGTGTTTTGGCCAAGATATTTTGGCAAAAAGTATTGTCCAATTCTCGTTCTGATTCATCTTGACTTCTCTTCAAAAGCCTCTTGACCTTTATCCTGGATAATTCTTGTAATGATGCCAGAAAGCTTCTTAAAGTAAGACATTGCCAGATTGACAAAATAATAGTTCAGCTCAGAAACCACTTGTCTACTAAAGTTTCTGAACTCATAGAAAACCCTAAGCAATACCGAGGATATCGTTATATTCAGCTAAAATTATCACACTCAAGAACAACATCAAGCAGGAATTCTCTGAGTTGCCATACATAGACTATGGGAATCCGAAAATTACTGAGGTCAAGTCCAATCAACCTAAGAAGTGTAATGAACAAGATACTGTTATTTAGAATTAACATCAACCCTAGATACAAAGTCTCTCAAATCAAGATCAGGACTCTTTACAAAGCTGGTGAGCACAGGTCCCATAGCCCGTCCAGAAGAGATCAACAGCATGAAAAGCAAACATAATACCATTTTTACCATATTTAATATATTTTGTTCATTCTGTCTACGACCCTTCGGGGTTTTGGGGTTTTGGGGTTTTGGGGTTTTGGGG